ACCATTAGTCTGCCAATCTTCATTTGTGTCTTCTATGATTATTCATCCATTGGAGACTCCCTGAGACAAAAAGCTATTAAACCAGCAACACTTGGAGGCAAAAGTAGAGGCGATGGCCAGTCCAGAGGCCTGTCGTGGGTGTACACTGTCTGCTTCTGGAACAATCAAATGATACTCAGTTTGTGAAATAGTAATTGATCCTGCACATTGAATTCTAGATTAACTCACTTTTTTAAAAGTGTACAGTAATTATAAGCATTAAATGTTTGCAAAAAATAAATACCTATTTAAAAAACAAATCTGATTTTAAGACCTTTTAAATATGTAGAGATAGAGTTGCTTATGAGGTATTCGTCTTATTATGGGTTTTTGTTTTTCCCTTTGGTTTCAAAGGTGCTACGAGTTCATGTTTACTGATTATGTAACCTTATGACAGGTCAGTGAACTTATCTAAGTCCCCTTGTTTCACTGTTGAAACGAGCCTAGCAGTACTTCTCAGCATTGCGGTGAGGGCTGTAAGGCACATCACACAGGCCAAAGTCAGTGCTCAGTGCTTAATGGTGGTGGCTGTTGTTATTGTGAATGTTTCCATTTTTAAAATGCTTTCTTACTATATTTGGAAATTATTCTGTAAGTATTTAGACAGAGCCAATGACATTGGCCAGTTTTTAGAGCAATTAGTATACATAATTAGTAAACATGAACTCGTAGCACCTTTGAAACCAAAGGGAAAAACAAAAACCCATAATAAGATGAATACCTCATAAGCAACTCTATCTCTAAATATTTAAAAAATCTTATCAGATTTGTTTTTTAAATAGGTATCTATTTAAAATTAGATACCTCACACCTTTACTCTTTGTTAAGACTTTTTAATTTCATTTTAACATTTCTAGACTTCCCAGAGAAAGTAATATCTCACATCTTTTTCTTTCTATGGGAAAAACATGTAAGAAATTCCAAGTAATCAGCATAGAAATCACTCTTGGGAAGTAACCCTCTCGTAAGATGGAAAGGCTCTTTGTAGTCAAGTATTTTTTTATTCTTTTATCAGCCAAACCGTTAGTCCTTATTCCACCTCCTCAGTTTCTTCCATAACCCAAATCAAATCTCACTGCCATTTAGCAGACAGCCTCATCTTTCTCCTGAACACACCTGGTGGGTTTGAAACACAGACCTCATAATTAGCAACTGAACACTTGATCCATAATATGAGAACTCCTTCCTCAGTTTATTAATTCCTCTAAAATTCTTGCCTTCAAAATTTCAATGACTCCTTTAAGCCACAAATTATCTTCTCGAAGCACAAATACTGAAAACCTACCACTTTTCAGATCAAGATTTTCAGTTGATGTTCAACAACATTTTGTTTTGAATTTTTAAAATTATAAGAATTCACGTGCTTTCTTTTTCAGTTTATTAATCAGGTATGTCTGGTTTAAAAATCAGACATGTTCTGAAACATGGCGTAAGCTGGTATTTTTAAAATAAAACTGTATATTGTGAATTTAAGAATTTAAGGATTTATATATCCTATCACTGATTTTGCATTCAACAACTTATCAAACCTCCCAATGATTTGCCCTGTGCTTCAACCTCCCCTTCTTCTTTTTGCCTATCTCACTCTTGTAGGATATTATATTCCCCTTCACCCAAGTTAGCACCTGTCTACCCTGTAGCCTATTTCTTCCCCTCCCTCTCCTTTCCCTCCCATCCCTGGTAACGATCGAAGACTGTTTCTTTTGGTATAAAAACCTTAGTCTTGAATTTTTTTCTTTTATAACAGTGGTCTCATATATTTTTGAACTTTTGTGTTAACTAAGTTCACTCAGCATAATGTCCTCCAAGTCTATCCATGTAATGAGATGTTTCACGCTATACTTTTGCATAGTACCCTGTTGTGTTATATACCAAACTTTATTTATCTATGTTTTCATTGATGGACATTTAGGTTGTTTCCATCTTCTTGCTATTGTGAATTCGCCATGATGAACATGAGTGTATATATATATATATATATATATATATATATA